TGTAAACAGACATGCCGGACCGTGTGGGTGGAATTTCCATGTTGAAGATCGTTGACCGAGTTATGGGCCTGATTGGTTGTGCGACGGCGACAAAAGCTATTACTTCAATTGGGGCAATTGAGTTTTGTGTTGGTATTTTATTGGTGCTGTCAGGTAATGCGTTGAGTAGTGGTAAACGGGCAGTCTGTGTTTGGAATATTTAGAGCTTTTGTCTGTAAAACGTCTGGAATATCACCTTACTGAATTAAGCCTATTGGTAGTGCCAACATTGTTGTGTATGCTTTAGGCATAGAAATCTCATAATCGTAAACTGCGGTAGTGATAGAAATGAATACTAAGGCACTCCATTTGGAACGCTATATCTAAAAAAGTTAACTAAATATAGCATTTGTGTGATGCCACATTTTTTCGATTTCCAAGCTGTATTTTCATCGCAAAAAATCTTTTTAATCTGTATCTGACTGACAAAAATCTGTAAACAAATCTGTAAAATTTCTTTATTATGGTATTAGTGCAGCTTTACGTTAATCTCATTTGAGTTAATTCATAGTTCAGAAGGACTTTCTGGCTGTAGATTTTCTTAATGAAGTTACTATCACAATTTCGGGCCGAAAACCTTTATTAGGACATTTGTTTTTTTCAACTTGTCGAATTGTATGCAATACTCCAAGGGGTGTTCAACTCTGCACACCTCTATTCTTGCCGAGTTATTAGTTGTGCCAAAAGCTGTGCCAAGCGCTCTGCCGAAGGTACCTATTAACGACAATTAAAGTATGCTTATCAAGGTGTTTGGCAACCCTGAAAGTTATGACTTTTGTAATTTTGTTTACATTGTCAATTTCTCTGATGGAGCATGGTAGACATTCACCTCCATTCTCGTTAGTCCCCTATGATAAGTTTGTTTTCTTCTTTATTGTCCATTATGCATAAAAAATTGTTGATGTACCTCATCTCTCGCAGAAGATCCTGTCCTGATCCTTCGTTGTACGCTTCGAGATTGGATACACACGACAGTATCAAATGTTATGTTCAAAAATAAGAAGTGTGTTCTGGAATAAAGCCTCCATTGGGACAGCATGTGGGCTAGAATGAGAGCAGCGTTGGAAAAAAATCACGATATTTCACGAAGTTCATCAAGGAAAAAGTTCGTGAGTCCTTGTGCGTTTTGGTGAACTTTTCCAATAGTGAATATGAAGATTCATCAAACTATAGATGCTCGATGCTCATCGTTCCACAATTAAATCCGATCTTCGCAGGATGCATGGTGCTCTTCTTTTCATACAAATAACAGGATAGTGTAGGTGTTCTGCCATCCCCGTTGTATAGTTGGGATCCATTTGCTTGATATTGATAAAATTGTTGGTGTGGCCGTTCGAATTTATCATCAAAGGTAACCATCGGGCATTTTTCACAATGATTTCATCTACAATCGAAAACGAATCGGCTCTACACACTAAGATTTTGTTTCAGTGTTCGGTACATTCTACTGAAATCAGAACAGCTGAACGTTCGGTAAAACTTTAACCTTTATTTTAAAGGCTATTGAATTTGAAATTAATATCAAAACATGTTCAACCTTGTTTAAATGATCAAATCTTGTCATTTTAGTGGAGATTTAGTTTCAACACGTAGCTGAAAGGCTATTGAATTGAACTGCATAAATTTTACCAAACAGTTCAGCTGTTCAGATTTTGGTTAAAATTACCGAAGTCGGCGATAATTTCTAAGTGTGTAGAGGAAACCCATTTCAGCCGTATCAACAAGTGGCTCTGGACCGGCCATGGTGTACATATATGAACTCGACTGAAGTGAGGCCTTGATAGAAGCTGTTCTAGATGAAAACACGATCCGCTGTGATTCGGAAGAGACGGACTTAGTGTTGCTAGGTTTGAAGAGATTCACGATTCAGACAATACTTATAGAATTTTTCGAATGATCCCCAACACCGGTGGGTATCCGTTTGTCGTTTACAACTTCTTGATTGAATCCTTGTATCATCAGTTTTATGTATCACATTCTATCACTAGTGTCGTTTGTGAGTAAACTTAGTATCGAACCGAGTAGTAAACCTTAGAAACGATTGGCAAAATGTCAACAAATAGAAAGGGAAACTACCATTTCTTCCAACGAAAAATCATAGCATCTGAACATCAGAAGTCCATTCAAAAGTTTCCAAGTCCATTCGAAACTAAAACAATAATAATTTATTTAGTGAAAAAGACGATTTGGGTTTTGATGCTCAGATTGAATTCAAGCTGTTCAAAAGAAAGAAAAGATTATTATCCGGAATTAAAAAATATAAAAAAATAGTATAACAAATTTTCCCCTTCCTTGAAAAATCTGAAAAATCTGTATAATTTTGAAAAATCTGTAATCTGTATATACAGATATCTGTATCAATATATTGACAAAAATCTATATGATTACAGTTAAATCTGTATATGTGGCATCAATTTTTGTATCACTGGTAGAAACAAAAACATGCCTTTTGTGTGTAACTATTTTGGATAAACGATACGAATTTACCCAATTTTTGTTTAACTTCTGTACGATACATAAGTTGTGATTTGTATGTAAAGTCGGAGTTCTGTATTATATACCATTGACTATCATGAAACCACCTAAACAGTGGGAATGACACTGATGAAGACTGCACATTGTAGTCGAAATACGTATCTGTCATGGATACCAAAATTAATTAAGTGGAATTAAATGGAAGATAAACCCTTTTGCTGTTTTATTTAGCATTCCGCTAACAACCCAATTCATTACTTCAAGCATATTTAATTCTTGCATTGACACACAATTTGCAGGTTCGGTATTATGACTGTTAAGCATTCCAGCTCCAAACTATTATCACATTTTTCACTATTTTTTTTAATCTCTTCGGTAGTTTAAACGGATTTCTAATATTTAAATCTTATTGGAATGGATGTTAGATTTGTTTTCATATGTTTTAATTGTAAATGTCAAATGGAAACTTGCAGAGGCACTAAAAGTGGGTGGGACAGGTGACGCACGTACGTTCAAAAATACGCGGGAAGTGTTTAATTTTACAGATAATCTAGATAATTTTCGGTATACCTGCTTTTCAGTCTAATGATGGATCAAAACGCATACTAAGTTTCATTCTCGAACTTTTGGCCTTCGGACTTGAGAGGAACAATGGATCTCAAGATTTATCTTATTTTTAAATAATTGGAATAATTAGGGACAAGAATGATGAAATCTTTACACTTCGCATTTTCAGAGGCACTGATCTCAACACTCAGAAGTCGTGCAGATCAGAAAATTATGCTCAGTGATAGTTTCTGTGCAGTAAACACTTTCAGTACTGCAAAATTTTGACCATTCACGACGATATTGACAAACAGGTTTCACCACTATCACGAAATGAAAATGATCTTCAAAGGATAACCTGTCATTTGTTAGGGACAATGCAATCAGTGACGAACTTATGCATGTTTTGTTTCCAACAAAATTTATAGCAAAATTGAATTAATTAAACATAAAAATTCCATAGAGCCGTTCTAGAAAACACGCATATACTGCGTTTATAACATTAAGATTAGCAAGAATGTACAAAATTACATTTTTTTACCAAGTGAATCTTTTTAACAGACGAAAAATTAATGAGAATTTTGACGAAGGTTTAAGTGAAATTCAATTAATTCAGTGACAATGACATAAATAATTTTGTCAATATCGCGTGCAATCTGACAAAACTCAGCTGAGTTAAATACATTTTGAAAATCATAAATCACTAAATGAGAGCTAGAAAATGCGAAGTGGAAAATCAATTTTCCGTCAATAGTATCCCTAAAACATTTAAATCTTCAATATGTTAGACATGACTACGAACAAATTGAAGTCTCTAAGCAGTATTTACAGCCCTCTCCAGAAAAAAAAATGTTTTAGTTATTTGTGAATTATACATTCTGTCAACTGTAAATATAACTGTAGAATACAACACACCGATATAATTTGAGATTGATAAAATACCATAGTTTTTGTAGATTTGTTTACCTGTTTATACATATAATCTCATTAATTGAGTCATCCTGAGAGAATAAACTCGCGTGCCAACATGGCAAACAAGTTTCATGCTGGGGACAGCCCCGGCGTAGTGGTTAACATCCATACCGCACACGCCAAACTCACGAGTTCAAATCTCATCACGGGGCAAGTCATGAATGATCCAAGAGAGGATAAAGGGCTATTATAATAATAACAGAAAAGTTTCATGCATTTCAAAAATTCATTCTGGCTTAATACTTATGACACCCTCTGAAGCGTCAATTCATCTTATGCATGTTTTTTAGTTATCCATCCACTGGTGCAAAAAAAAATCACAACATTGAATATCGCCAATAAATGAACCAATGCATTTTTGAACCTGAAAATTCATAACTGATTTCTGGGCAGTTGAACATTGCCTCTAACTCAACATGCTGCAGAATAACTCCCACAAGTATTTTGCTTCAAGATGACGGTAAAATCGTTATTAAATGGCCATTCCAAATATGATAATGAGTTTGTTTATACTCGAATGTTATTATAGGGGAGGTACAGTCGGTTCAGTGGTCAACCACTATTTCGGTTTTTTTTTGTTCAGAAGTATCGTTTATGTGGAGATTACATTCTTACACTAATAAACCCCCCAAACTTTTAGTAGGGTACAGGAATTTTAAGGTAAGAATGTGTTGTGTATCGGTCGAAGATAAAGCGGGCCAGCATAGTCAACACCAGGGCAACTGCCCAATTTGCTGCTGAGTAAGTATTAGGTTGAGGCGAGGAAATCGTCAACTGACATACCGCGAGAGACCAAGTCGACAGGGTTTTCAACTCCAGGGACATGTTTCCACTGACAGCCATGTGTGTATTGTTGGATTTCCGAGACTCTGTTGGCCACGTAGGTCGGCCAGAGGTACGGAGGTGATCGTAGCCATTGTTGTGCGATTGCGGAATCCGACCAAAAGTAGGATGCAGAAATGTTGACGTCAATAGCGTTCTTGATGCGAGCATGAAGATGAGCGGCTGTCACAGCTGCATAATTCCAAACGGGTGATTGTGACTCGTTTCAACGGTGCTACACAAGATTTCGACGCTAGGAGTAGGATCCTCACTCGTCCTTGACTATCTTCACAGCGGGCGTAGGTGCAGGCACCGTAAGCGGTTTGGGAAGCATCTGCGAAAGTGTGCAGTTGGATTACTGAATCAGGAAGGAAGGCATATCTGTCAACACGGTGCTCAGAGATTCTCGAGAGTTCTTGCTGGTAGGATTCCCATTTCAACTTGACGGGTTCTGGTACAGGGTCATCCCAGTCGCAGGAAAGTAGCCATAATTCCTGGATGATAATCTTCGCCCGAACAACTACCGGTGCGATGAGTCCAAGAGGGTCGAAAAGCTTGGCTGTATCGGAGAGGATGGACCGTTTTGTTGGAGGCTCGTCGCTGATTCGAATCAGGGAATCCAAACGGAGAAGATCGGCCTCAGGTTCCCATATTATTTCGAGCGCCTTGATTGATTCATCTGGGTTGAAGTGAAGAGCGAATTGCGTTCCAACTTGTTCATCGCTTAGACCTTGCAGCACCTCCAGCTGATTTGAAGTCCACTTCCGTAGTTCAAATCCACCTTTCTGCAATAGCTCGTCGAGCTCTGTACGCAGACGGATCGCTTCTTCGACGGATTGAGCACCACCGATGAAGTCGTCGACATAAACATTCTTCTTCAACGCTAATTGCTGGAGAGTACGTGTTGCTAGGTAGGATGATGGGCCCAAACTGTACGTAACGGTTAGCAGCCCGTAGATTTGGACGGGTGACAACTTGGAAAATCGCCACAGGATACGCTGGAACTGTGTGTCTTCCGGATGTACAAGTACCTACCGGTACATTTTGGCAATGTCAACGACTAGAGCTATGAAAAAGGTACGAAACTGATGTCCAGGAGATCGTCCTGCACCACGGTACCCACGCAAAGAGCTTCGTTAAGGGAGCAAACAGAAGAAGTTTTAGCTGAGCCATCAAAAATAACTCGGACCTTGGTCGTCGTACTTGCTTCCTTAATTACGGGGTGGTGGGGCAGATAGTAGGCTGGAACATTTTCATCATCCGCTTCGACCAACCGCATGTGGCCGAGGGAGATATACTCCTTGATGAACTGGTAATATTAATTCTTCAATTTTGGGTTTCGTTCCAAGCGTCTTTCCAGGTACTCGAACCTTTGCTGGGCGTTGTCCCGAGATTTTCCGAGCAACACATCGAAGTCGGACTTTCGAGGATACCGAACTACATATCGACCATCAACATTTCGTGAAACGGTGGACTGATACATGGATTCACAGCGCCGTTCTTCCACTGAGTAATTGTCCTTGGTTGTCAACTCTTCGGTTTTCCAAAACCTCTCCATGCTTTCCTCCAACGACATCATCGAATCTTCGACCGCATTGCACGAGATAAATGGTGCAGATGTGTGCGTGACTGAGCTATCATTCGTCGAACCAGCAACGATCCAACCGAAGACGCTGTTGACCAGAAGTGGAAGGTTTCTGTCAAGCTGGATGCGCTCATTGCTGGGGAAGAAGGAGTAGAAATGTCTTGCGCCTAGAACCATATCTATCGGTTGACTCTCGTTAAACGATGGATCTGCTATGAACAATTCATCCGAAATTTTCCAACTCGCAATGGAAACGTTTTGAGAAGGAAGAACAGCCGTCACTTTATCCATCACCAGAAAAAGTTTACACCATACGAGAAGTTTTCCTTCCTGGACTGCACCTGAGCGAAAACGGATTCATTGACAGGCTTGGAAAGCTGATCTGCTCCTTGTACTGTCACGTTCGCGGGCTGTCGCCGCAGCCGCAGGATCTTCGCCAACCGATCCGTGATGAGATTTGATTGCAAGGCACTGTCAAGAAGCGCGTGGGCTAGATACTCTACGCCGTGGGCTCCGATGACCTTCACAACGACGGTGAGGAGAAAAACGTTTTCACGAGGATGCTGCAGAGCTGTGCTGACTTCAACTAGCGGAACATTCTCGGAGGCAGATGGTGCATGAGAAGGTGAACTCGGAGCGGCTTCGGCACTAGGAGAAGAACCTTCGTTGCTAGTCCTGCGAGAACCCTCGGTCTGTCCAAGATGAAGAAGAGGATGGTGACGTCGGTTACATTTACGGCAAGGGCAATTGCGAACGAAATGATCGCCCTTCAAGCAGTTGTGACACAGACGCTGCTGTCGTTCGATCGGCGAAAGTCGGTTGAATTTGACGCATTTCATCAGAGAATGTGACTGGCTGCACTTTTCCCCAGAACTAGTAGTCGATGCACAAGAAGCAAGGCGAAGCTGTGTATGGACCTGATTTTTCCTCGACGGATGAGAATGACTGCTGGAACCAGAAGCAGATTCGGCTGTGTGGTGATTCTCGGAGATGGATTCTAGTACTCGTGTCCTCCGTTGCAGGAAATCGATGAGGCAGGTGTAATACGGATTCGCTACCGTCGACGCATGGTCCTCCCACGCCTTTAGATTGTCATCGTGCAGTCGCGTACACAGAAGATGTTCCAAAATAGCAATCCAGGTGTCGGTAGGCTCTCCCAATTGATGTAGAATCTTCGTGTGCCGCTCAAACTCGTCCACCAATCCATGTAATGCTGCAGCGGACTCCTTTTTCATGCGCGGGATGTCGAAGAGTGCCTGCAGGTGTCGCTTCTTCAACAAATAATCGTTGGAATACCGGTTCTCCAGAGTCTGCCAAGCCAAAGCGTAGTTAGAGGAACTGATGCCAATCGATTCGATCAGTTGAGCAGCTTCACCCTTGACCAGTGCTGCAAAATCTCGACAGTACACGGTGATATTGACAATTCTGCTTTGGTCACTCATTTTAGCTAACATTCATAGTCAAGGCAAACCATGTCAATTGTCAATGACAATGGTGTCAGTGACGAACATGTGCAGATTTGTTTATTACCTAAATTTGTAACAAAATTAAATGACTTGAGCAAAATAATTACATGGATCCATTTTAGTGAACAAGTATCTACGTCCTGAGCTACTTGGATAACAATAATGTGACACAGAATGTACTAAATTACACTTTTTGTTACCAGGTGAATCTTTGTCATTGACGAAAAAATGAATGAGATTTTGACGAAGGTTTTTTTGAGGATCAAGTCTGTCAGTGACTATGTGACGAACAATTTTGTCAATATCGCGCGAAAGTCTGTCAATGACAATGACAAATCTCAGCACTGCCCTTGACTGCTGCTCGTAGATAGTGGAACTTCTGAATGGCTGGCAGAACTGGATTTGAGTGAATGAGCGCCATGAAGGTATCGTGGAATGCAAACCATTGCATATAATCTCCATCGAACTCGGGTAGAGAAATCGTCGGCAGCTTGATCGCAGAGAGAGTGGAGGAAACTTGATGGGGAGGAGGGATGCGTTCTTGAATAATGGGAGGCAATTTCGAAACGAGACAGGTTTTTATTTAAAACAGCCTTGATTCAAACCCCGCACGAATGGTAGCATGCTCTGCCGTTCCTTCATCCGTCGCCTGAACCACTTCCAGGTTGTTCCAAACGTCGTCCAAGTACTGGATTCTCAACGGAACTTGCAGTTGGTCCCGCTGGGCTTCATATCCACCGACGAAAGCTTCTGCCCGACCCAACGATGAAAGCAGCGTCTCACGTCTTGATAGCAGCTGGGCTCTCGTCTGCACTTCCGCCATATTGTGCAGCGGATCGATTAATCAAGAGCACGCACTCGATGAATAACCTTGTCCAAGGCAGGTACGGTGCCTTGTATTTAAATTCTGCAACAGAAACACGGTGCAGTACCGACCGTACTGAAACTCGTCAAGCCACACCAGCAAAATTGTCAAAAATCCTCAACGATGTATTTGGAATCCGAATATCATGGAGAGGTGAATCGTGGAAGCAGCGCAGCGGATGGCCACAGGCAGAAATAACCGTCACAACAGGTGATGCCACGACGCATAAATTGTATTACACAATGACTAGGAACGCCAAGGTGCCCAAAGGTCCAATTGTGCGCCGATCGATGGTGAAAATGGCGCTTCCAGGCCAGCAACGATGCCACACTTGTGCCTGATAAATCAAGCCTTGTATTTTACAAGCAGCAAGCAGGATCACGAATTAATCCCCTCCATTTTGTGCCGGCCTTGAAGATGGCGGCACCCAGTAACACTCAGCACGCGGTCCGAAAGGTATCCTGGTTACGGCACCAAAATTATATTGGCGCGTTGTGTTTAATTTTTTCTTCATCCGTCGCACCAAGGGCTCTGCGATGGGCAACAACGATATGACGGCTTATCAGGGGAATTACTTTACGGCAAAAACCAAAAAAACTGCAGTTCCCTTTTTCACAACTTTCCCTTTTGCAGGCTGATTTACTTGTGATCGAACAGCAACAAAACTTTCTAATACAGGCTGATATGTAGTGGCTAGTGGGGCATTGAAAATCACGTCTGTCAGTTAAGCTGAGCGGCCGCGGTTGCCAGAAGGGCTAGAAAAACTGGTCTAAAAGTGTACCCGCTAGCACCAGCTGCGGAGCGTGTTGCGAGAACCATCAATCCTTTATACAAAAAGGCATTTTACGTTGATCATAAACATACTATAAACTGTCGCAAACATATTAGATAGTTTACTTAAGTTTACATTATTTGGGAGATTTTCAGCCATGGCATAAACATATCCGAAATAATAATGTATGTCGCACTCAACATTTTTGGTTTCATCATGCTGTTGTAGACCATGGTTTAGGCATGGCTTGGCGTGCTCCTTATGTTACCTCGTTATATTACTTGGGGTATTTTCAAACTTAGCTGTTTCCATCAAACCGGGAACATTATGTAAGACAACCGACCGCGAAAAATCAGGAAAACCTCGGGAATTTTAATCCCGAAATGTAGTGGCCACCCTGATAATCTGTAATTAATGCCTACATAGCTTTATGAACATAAACAATGTAAGATAATTTTATAAGTTAAGCTGAGATCCAGTTCACTTGCAAAAGCATTGTATGAACATATGTACCCTGGAAATGCTAGTTCGTTTGGTATTGTATGTACTGTCAATACATTTATCGTAACAAACAGAAACAAAGTATGTAAGAAACTCGTTAAAAGCGCACATCTTTCAACAAGTACTTGCACGCATCATGAAATTCATGTTAACAAGAACCTCTCATTACGGTTTTCCAACTGCTTTCGCTTCCAATTCTTTAATTGATAACTCTTGCGAAAAAAAAATGCGCGCAAAGTATGTACGCATAGTTCTACTACACTTGCTACTATTAGGAAAAAACAAATTGTGCATTGATTTACTACCCCAGAAGCGTAATTTTTCTGCGTAACGTCTATTGCGTGACTAGCTGTAATTGTAGCAATGAATTTGAATTTTACTTTCAACACGATTTCTTCTGTGAATGCAACTTTATCCACTGGCCATTTGAATTTATGACTTTTACTACACTGTGTGTGTGTGTACAGAAATCATTCAATCGTCAACTTACATATATGTTTGAGTAGTTTGCATGATTAATTTCAGTATAATAGTAGCAAATAGATGCAAATTCTAATTGATTTCGTTTTCTAAGAATTCCCATTAGCACAATACCAATACTTCTTACACCTCCTGGCATCAGTAGATCGTTCGGTGTGCTCTGTTTTCTTAGCAGGGTCACCACTCGCACACAGCTGGAAATGGAACCAATTTCGGAACCCAGAAAAGGGTTACAATTTCAATTCTTTTGCCCACCACGACCCGTCGTCGTCGTCGTCGTCGTAGGATCGTTACGTCAGTCGGAAAAGATTTACGATTCCCAAAGCAGCATAAAAATATAAAACAGAAATATTTACCTCCTTTCTGCCGTTTGCCCGAGTTTTGTTCCATTCCAGGGCCAGGAATGCGCATTCCTTTTTGTATTTTGCGTCATGAAACCCTTTGGTTTTTGCTGCTGCTTCTGCTGCGGGGGATTGAACGAAGGAAATGAACCATTTGTCGGTCGATGCTCTATTTTGCATGCCATTCTTCGCACCATCCATCCTGTTTATGTTTTTATATTCACGCTTAATTGAAAGCTGAGATAAATGCAGGACGCATTTTGACCCTTTTTTTTTGCTCCCGTTTTTTTCGCTTTGCTTTCAAACGGTCTGTTATCCTACTGTTGTTCGCAGCTAGCTGTAAATTTAAATACGGAGAAATGGATGTTTACTGAGACCGACTGCCGAGTGATGCTTTCTATGCTTTTAAATTTCACTTTTTTTTTTTATATATATATATTTAGAAGCGACAGTTTGTTCTATAACTGCTGTAGGTATTTTTTTTTTTTGGTTTCACGTGTCGGGTCATGAAAATTTAAAATGAATCACAGGGGAACGAAACGAATGTCGTCTGCTATCCCTTTGTAAGTTTCCTTTTGTGTGAGTAGCTATGTTTTCAGTGGCACGACAAGGGGTTGATTTTATCAAATTTCCACGAATCCGTGGAACATGTGCGCAACGATTTCATGGTAACTCATTTGCATGTTTCAAACAGGGTGTTTCTGGCATCAAGACCATCGGTGTCAGCCGGCGTTTTTCGCACGATGAATTAATTTAAATGTAAATGGGAAAATCCTCTCAGCCATGTTTAATGGCCACCGAGACATGGAAGTGCAACACGGGCGCCGCGCGATAACACGACTGCCACTGACGACCGACCGGGCGCTTCCTTTGCTTGTGTCGGCTAACTGGCAAGTGGTCTAAAATTTGGTCGTTTTTCGTGATAGATAGGCTATTTGAATGCGCTATCGGTGAGCAATTCCTTTTTATTGCTCTTTTGAACTATAAAAGGAGCCGCCACTGATAGTGGATGCTTTTATGGCATAATATCAATTCGTGAAGCATCTGCATGGCTATACGGTGGTGTTATTTTCGGATTTGGGCTCCCCTCTCATGCTTCGCTTGCGTCATTATTTTGGATTATCTTTGCATGCAAACAGAATTCGTTGTTGAGAATTCGAGTACCTAACAGGTGCCTGCATTTAATGAAATAATTTAACTGGTGGCCAATTATGATAAAAATATTAATATTGAGAATGTTTTTTGCATTTCAATTTAATTAAATTTTGATTGATAATTACTCTCGTTGTACTGGATTTTTCGTCAATAATATATTTAAATAGCTAGTTTCTTACACGGTCTGTTTATGCTTCCTACGAGAAATGTAACAGTATGACACTAATAAATACTTAATTTTACACTTGACGGAATTTATCTTTGACATAAACGATGAGACGTAAACAAACATGTCATGTAGCATAAAGTGCTCCAAGACTGAAAAGTTCGTTCCTCGACGAAAAGTACGTTTGACTTAGCTGAATTTCGCGTCTATTATGACACAATTGATTGTAGCAAACAAGCAGCAGATTCTAGAATCAGTATGTTCGTTCAAAAACTTGACAAGATTGATAGAATCTACAAATGGCCACTATCATGACTGATTTTATAAAGCAAATCAGCCATGATAACCACCATTTTTAGATTTTTAGATCAACCTTGTTCTTGGCCAAAAACATGACAAGTTTATTTAATAAGTATTATATTATATTGGATTTAAGCAAACAAAAAAGCTATCCACATTTTGCTAATATTCTTTAATAATGTTGACGGCCATATTGGAATATAAAGTTATTTATTATAGATCTTGCATATCTTTAATACGAAAATTGAACGATGCTCTCGATTTCATACTGTCAACAATGTAACAATGTGCTAGCAAGGGATGGATAACCAAATTTTAGTTACACTTAAATTATAGCTATGATGATCGACACATGATTATCATTTGATTCGTTTTGTGCAAACCCAATACAATCAA